AAAAAAGTAAATATGAGCATTTGCTCAATTTAACTTTATAGTCATGGAATTCTGCTGTAGAGATTCTTACTCACTATGGACTTGTAAGCAACAAACCAATTCCCCAGGTTAACTGAATAAAGCTCTAGCACCTTTTCTGTACTTGGATTATGAAGAAATCTTGATGATTCCAGATAACCTGAAATTGTCAGGTTGAGCTGCAAAACGGACATGTATCTATCTAGATATACATTTATACATACATATATGTACATGCAAATGCATATATGAATATGCATTTACAGCACATAGATCTTACTAAATTTTGTCCAAATAATTTCAAATGTGTAACATGCTTTAAGTATTCAGAGCATTAAATTCCCAGTGGTTAATGTGAATGGAAGTACAAAAGACAGATTCTTCGATGAGGTTACTATAAACCAAAGTGTACCAGGGGGTTTTCCTCCTTATGGCAGAGGGTTGAAAGTAAAATGATCATAAAAATAACAGAATCTATTGGTTTGGAAGGGACCTTAAGACCATCTATTTCCAGTCCACCTGACATGGGCAGGGACACTTTCCACTAGACCAGGCTGCTCAAAGCCCCATCCAACCTGGCCTTGAACACTTCCAGGGATGGGGCAGCCACAGCTTCTCTAGACAACCTTTGCCAGTGCCTTATCCACTCTCTTAAAGGATCTTTTAATGATACTCAAGGTCCCTTCCAACCCAAACCATACCATGATTCTATGGCTTCAGGAAGCCAGGTAGCAGAATTAGAGAAGCTGCAATTGCCATTTCATGCAGTACGGTACTTGATATGAAGTACACCTGTGTGTAAGTAGTACACAGAGAACTAACCTCCACTATTACAGTGCTACCACAGATTCTTCATATCTCAGCAACAAAACACAATCAAAACAAGCACTGTAGTGTTATGTGCAATCTGAAGCTAATAGGAATGACAGGAATTCAGGCTGCTGTTATTATGGAGAACAAACCATACAGGAGCTACAGAGATGCAACTCTGCTTGTATGACGCAGGTGAAAAATAAGCAGCTCTTCTTAGTTCTGCCAAGATACAAGTTTAAATGAATTACTATAAAAGAGGGCTGCAATGGTAAAGTACATCCACATACAGCAACCCTCCAGTACCTAAAGGGAGCTACAAGAAAGGTGGAGAATGGCTTTTTACAAGAGCATGTAGGGATACGACAAGGGGGAACGGCTTTAAACTGAAGGAGAGTAGATTTAGGCTAGATGAGGAAGAAGTTCTTCACTGTGAGGGTGGTGAGACACTGGCACAGGTTCCCCAGAGAAGCCCCATCCCTGACAGTGTTCAAGGCCAGGTTGGACGGAGTTTTGAGCAACCTGGTCTAGTGGAAGTTGTCCCTGCCCATGGCAGGGGGGCTGGAAACAGATGAGCTTTAAGGTCCCTTCCAACACAAACCATTCTGTGATTCTATGAAATAATGAATAATTTTGTATTTGAACCAGCAAGAACTATTAAACATAGGACAAATGGCACAACAGGCATAAGAGGAAGTCGGTGTTTGCTTTTCAGCTGGTGCTTTCTATTGCTGGATCAGGAAGCTTTGAGGAAATCCACACCTTATCTACAGGAGGGCAAACTCTGAACTCTCAACTTCAGAGTCACTGCTGCATTGGCTCCCAAACTTACAGTATGGTGTCAGACTGCACAGATACTGCTTGAAGCCATCAGATACGTTAAGACTCTAAGTGAAAGAGCAGGAATAATAAGGTAGTAAAAGGCACTAAGTGTAGGCTTTTATTAGGATTAAGGATTAGAACAGATTAAACAGATTAAAATAGTACACAAGGTTATCTAATACCCAGACAGTGAGAAGGCAGAAGCTATAAGGGCTAAAGAGACATTTGTAGATACATTCAATCTTCAAGCAGTCAAAGATAAGATCAGGTTCTTCTACAGCAGTCAACATGTTTGTTATAGCAACTGAAGTCTGTTCCTATATGGCCAATAGTTTAAGATTAGTTTGACACATCTTTGTAGGAGGCAGAGAGCGTCAAGTTTTGTTTTTATAATTTTAAGAAATTATGAAAAAGATTATGTTCACGTTTTGGAGCTATAACGCTTGGAAGAATTAGATTTTAAAATAATCAGCTTACTAGAAAGATCAGATTCTCTATGAAAGGCTTTACAGATAACAATGACTTTAAGTTTTCTTTGCAGCCAAGACATTTTGTGTCATCTCTGAATTTTGCCTCTGGTATTCCCTTTGTGGGTTACAAAAACAGCCCTACTTTCTCCATGCCCAAGAGAACTTTATTTTTGACATTCTTTTTTCTGAGAAGTTTAGCTTTCAAACACCAAATGTTCTACGATGTCAGCTGTCCAAAGGGGGCAAGCTTAAGATCTCAGCCTCTCCACACCAGATATTCTCACCACATTCCCCAAGTCTGCCATCCTTCCAATCTCACACTGGTCTTATTTCAAGAGGCACAAACACTTCCCAGCTGAGTAGTATGCAAACAACATAAAAAAAAAACAGAACTCCCTACAAAAGGGAGTCATATGCAGCTCTCTTCAGATCAGGTGCATGAGTTAAATGCTTTTGAGACCTCTTCCTGCACCATTTTTCAGTGATCTGTACATTCTGCCTCAGTAGAAGAGTGCTATTTTCCCATATATATAGAAAATTTAGCCAGCTTCATTTGAGCAAAATGAAGCAATGTAACAGATAAAAATATAAGACAACTGGCTTTTCAAGCAAAACCAGAAAGCTCTGCTCTTTTAGCAAAAGTACCAAAAAAAAAAAAGGTTATTACTAACAAAGATGAAAAACCTAAAAAACTGTGCAGAGATAGAAAAACAGTAGAAAAGGCTCTTTCTACTTCTTTTTCAGTAGAAAAGACTCTGAGGTTCATCCTGAAGATTTTGGGCAGACCAAAGGAACTGAGATCCAAAACTGCAACTTTATACATAAACTCAGGAGTTGCCCATGATCCCACAAACCTACTCAAGTTTCACGTGGAAGCCCTAACAGTATTCCTCTGTCTACTATCAGGAAAGCAACTGTCTTTACAAGCACCAGCAGTCACAACAAAACCCAGGAAAAATTCAGAAAACAGGTGATATTTCACTGCCCTCCAAACATTTAAATCCAGCCAACCTGGCACAAAACAGCCTCAGGATCCTCAAAAGGACAACCTGAAAAAGTCCCCCCTCACACTCTCCCCTTTTAATTTAAAACAGTAAAAGCCTACTGATGAAATGGCTGTTCAGGAAGTTCAAGTCCAAAGTTCAGTTCTCTCCTCAGCTTGTAATGAAATTCAAAGTCTTAATTAATCACCCAGAAGAGAGCTGTAAACACTAAGAAATCAACCGCCGGCGTTGATACAGCACCCTCATTCCACCTGGCAAGACCATGTTAGAGACCCTACCCTTTAGCTGGTTCCTGTTCAAAAGATTTCAAAGTGGCCCCCTTCATACTTCAAGCCCTGAAGCTACCTTGAGACCAGTACCTATAGAGAAACTATTATGGTGCATGGAAAAGGTAAGTTGCACTGTTAGTCATCATAGTCCTTGTTCTTATAAAAGAGGAATAAAGTCTTATGTTAAGGACAGCAAAGAGATGTAGACTAGATATTCTCAGAGGTTGGATTTGGGTTTTGGTTTTGTTTTTTTTGGCAACAGAAACTTTTCTGCTTTAAAAACCTGGCCATTTAAAATCAAAAGTTCAAAGTGCAGTCAGATACTGCACCTGCAGTCACACAATTTTGTGTCAGCATTTCATGTTGTTTCAAAGTCTGTTTAAAGAAAATTCCTTCCTGTTGTTCGGCATCAAAGAGTTAACTATGAAGGGCTAAGAAATGGTTTTGGTAGTTTACATCACTAGTTAGCATGGTGCTTGTGTATCTCCAAGTGAGTTGGGCATAGGCACACGTTCTGAATTCTCTGCTCTCCTCACTAATAAGCTCCTACTGCAAAAATCCAAGTGATCATACAAAGCAGGCCATCCTGTAAAGACGTCATTAAATGTACAGGGAAAGACAGAGGAAAAAAAGTTTATTTCTAGCTCACTAGGGCCAAATCATCAGAGGTCTTTAGGCACAGAGGTTCCATTTAGTTTAGTGGGAAATCACACACTTAATGCTTGCTGCTGCATTTAGTATGTCTCTGGGATCTCAGCCTCACCCTCTTTTAGGTACATTAACAACTGCCATAATTTAAAGAACCGATTTTATTGATACAACATATTTTTCATGGTCCTCTGTGACTTAATTGCTAGTAATTACTTTTTTTAAAACAAGGCTTACTGCTACCATACTAGGCATAGATAAGTTTCTGCTCCATAGGCTTGATACACCGGCATGGATTACAGAACACCAGCATCTTTTCCGTTTCAAGTACAGGACACCTACTTGATGCACCAGATTTGGTGCATCCTAAAACTAAGATACACAAGAGTTTGTATTTATGGGGCAGCTTTAAGCCAAGAAATTCAGAGTTCCAAAAGCAAGAGAACAGCCATATCTAAATAACTTATTTGCACTTTATTTTCAAAATATCCTTTTAAAAAAAGGCTTTATTACAATATCCCTCTCCTCCCTTCTGGAGCTATTTAGGGTTTTTGCTGTTTTATGTTGTCCCAGCAGTATAAAATTAATATCGACAAAACAACAAGAAGCATGCAAAGTCCCATAACTGGATGTGGTCTCTACAGTTAGATGAGTGTATGCCTGCCTTTTCCCTTTGTACCAGGAATTGCAAAATGATGTGAAGTCCTTTTGAAATAAGCAAATGTGCGGGAGTGAGGAAGAATAAGAGGTCTCCAAGAGTCCCTAACAGAAACTCCCACTTCAGCAGGGGTAGGATCCTACCCACAGTTAGATATCAAAACCCCGCAGTCTGTACCGGGAGAAGAAGCTCCTAAGGAGCAAAACTTTGTTGTAAGACAGTTGGAGCCCAGACCTCCTCGGAGGAGGGCATTCCACAAGCCTTAGGAAAAGGAGGCAGAGGCTTCTGCCGAGGTAAGTACCTTGTAACTGAGCTGAGAGGGACTCTTGATGCTGCTGGTACTTGAGCGCCGTGGCCTCAGCCTTCCTCAGCTGGCCCTGCAGCTCGTAGTAGAGCATCGCCCCGTAGAGGAAACCGAACACCACAGTCAAGAGCAGGAGGGTCTGGAAAATCCGCTTCTGTTTTCGGGAGCACATCCCGTTGCCCATGTCCCCGGAGGGGGCCCGAGGGTCCCCGCCCCTCACGGCTTAGCAACAGGCTGCTGGAGGCGGCGGACGACGAGGCGGAGACATCGGAGGCCCCGGGCCCGCGCCGGGAGAAGGAGGGAGTGAAGGGAAGAGGGGCCGGCCGAGAGCCTCAGTCCCTGGGCGGCGCCGCCGCGGCCGCGACTCCCCGTGCAGCTTCCCCCTGGGTGCGGGCCCTGCGTGTCGGAGCTGAGCCTGCGGGACTTTGCGCAGCACGGGGCGGGCGCCCCAGCTGCATGCTGCGGCCGCGAGGCTGCCCGGCCCTCCGGCAGCTGGAGGGGGCGGCCCCGGCCAACTGTCCCGACCCCTGGGTTCCCGCGGTGGGGCGACAGGCGGCACTGGCTACTGCGGCCGGCGAGATGGGAGCTGCGGTGGCGGCAGCTCTCCGCACTCCTCAGGCGGTGGCTTCAGCCTAGCCCCGCCGACGGGACTCGCCCGGCCGGTGGGCCGCCGCCGCCACCTGAAAAGAACAAAGGCAACTTCCCCGGCCCCTCACTTACGTGTCACCTCCGCCCCGCCTCACCTCCCCGCCGCGGGATCCCCGAAGGAAGTCCCGCTCCGGACGCGGCCTCATTGGGCCCAACTGCGGGTCTCTCTCCTCCCTTCGGGGCGGCAGCGTCTGAGCGCATTGGGTGCCCGCCGCGTCCGTCCGGCCCGCCGGGCGCTTCGCTTCCCTCCGCCCGCCCCTCTCCACGCTCCCGGTCCAGCCAGACCGTAGCCGGGGGTCGGGGTCCGGGGCTGGTATGAGGGGGCCGGGGTGTCAGAGCAGAGGCGCCTGACACCGGGTGGGACGAGGAGCGCGGCCGGTGCGGTGCTGCTGGGCAGGGGCTGCCAAGGCCTGAGGCAGTCGGAGGGTCGGTCCTTGCCCCCACGGCACAGCGGGGCCTGCGGGATGCCCAGAGCCTGGGGTTCAGGGATCTCGTACTGAGAAGGCAGAGTGTCAAAGAACCTGGTTTTATAACCGAGGACTTGATTTATTTACACTCTTCAGCAGATTAATGTATTTTTTACATAGGTCGTTTGCTGTACTTTGTTTCGGGGTGGCAGCTGCACCCGAGAGGTACTGCTTATGGCAGCCTTCGCTGTTCTTTGCCTTTTCCTTCTTCCAGAGCCGAGCTCAGACCTTTGGTGGATCTTAATTCAGGCCCAGGGTTATGTCTGTGATAGTGCAGTGCTCCTCAGTGCTGCTGTCGTGCATTAAAGGTGAGACAAGTCTTAAAGCATGCTTGCAGAATTAGCACAACTAGAGTTCTCCCTATGAGTATATCTTATTGCAGAAAAAAAACAAAACATGAAACACCCACCCAAGACTCCAGCTAAACTAGAAGCAATACTTAAAAAAAAAAAAAATAAAGACATACCCAAAAATTATTTTTGCTAAATGTATCTTAACTCGTTGATCTATGTTTTTCACAGATACTGTTCTGGCCTTAAAAGAAAAACTACATCAAAGAGGCTTAAAAATTTGTTATTCAAATATTTAACATATACCAGTAATTAATAGCAGCCCGTACCATAAGCTGGTATGATTCCTATCTAAATGTATTTCAAATTTATATTTGTTGTCTTCTAATTTAACGGAATGCCTTGCTTTCTGTTTGAGGAACTAAGGATTCAAAATTAAGAGTTAGACAGCCAGGCAGTAAGTGCTTTTAAGAAGCTTTGCCTTTAAGAAGCTTCCTGAAGTTCTTGAAGTTACATTTAAAAGCTTTTTTTCAAAACCATGAGTGTTTCAAATTGACTCATCTTCATGCAAGTATATAGTATCTATTTCATTCTCAAAATAGATCTTAAGGAACCTACTGGGACTACTGGAGGAAATTCCAGTTTTCTTTCTTCTCGAGACTCCTTCAGAAACTCGTTTTTGCATTACCAGGCTCCTCAGACTAGCTCAGTTTACCAGAATGAGACAATCCTTTACTTCTAGACTGAGACTTTGAAATCACTTGAGATTTATACTTCAGTATTTCAGCTACTCACATTATTTAATTTCTTGTGTTGCAGCCTGTTGCTTCCATTATCTGTCCTAAAAACTGGTCTACGCCTTTAGTTTTTGTTTACTTTGCATTGGAGAACAATTGCCTAACCATGAACTTCATCGGATTATGGTATTCACTTTGGGTTATCGTTATGATGAATAGGCATCATAAATTTATGAGGACAATGAATTGGCATCATTATTTAGTACCTATTCCAAACACATTAAATCAATTATGTTGTAAATATACTGTATCTGCTCGTAGAAATTGGCCATATCATTAACAAATGCTGAGAAAAAAGCAAATTAGTATCTGCTTTTGCTTAATCAAATATTACTTATATTCACTAATAGCTAGTGATATATCTCCTCTTCAGCTCATGTAAATTGTGATTCTTCATGAGCAAACCAATTAGAGTTAAAATAAGTAATTTATTGGGAGCAAGGGACTATTATGTGAAGCTATTAGGCAAATTTGAATTGGAAGTCCCAAAATAGAAAGGTTTGGATCTAAAAGAGACTATAATATGTTAAAAAACATTAAATTAGTTGCTAGGATAGGAATGTTACTAATCACTGAGTAAGTTACCGATACAATCAGAAAAGATGGGGGGGGATGAGTGCTTTCTGAGCCATGTTGTACCATGGGAAGAATTCTTGGAGGCTGCAAAAGGGAATTCATGGGCAGGCATTTCTACACACCTATTTATCATGTTTAGCATAATTTCCTAAGCAAATGAGGCTTGTGCAGTCAAACTGTCTTGTCAGTTTGTGCCTTGTAAATGCAAGCAGTTGGCGAGCACATTTGCCAATTTCAGACAAATTTAACTGGGTTGTAAAAATGTTGAGCAAAACAAAGTTCCTGTAAGTTTTGAGAATTAGAGGAGCAATATATAAAGTAAACCCTCGTAAATTTCCTAACAGAAGTAAACATGCTCAGACTCAACTTGGTAACAGAGAACCTGTTCAGGGAGAGATGTTAGAACTGGCCCATTTCTCTGGGACCTTGACCACTAACCACAAGATGTGGCAAGCCAGTCCTCAATTTGGACATCACAGAACTACTTGGGTTTTCTCTCCCTTTGCATTCCTCTTCTTAATATAATTCTCTTACATTTTCTTTCACTTCTTCACTGTTGGTTTTAATATGCTATGATTATTTCCAGCTAGGGATACCAGTTTCTAATGAAAATGACCATTGAACATCTTTGAGTTTTTCCAGAATGAGCCAATGAAAACAGCAGTTAAATAGATCAGGCATCAGGTCTTTCGTATTTTTTTTTAAACCTACCAATCAGTGAATCAGAGATCCAAAGTGATGATGGAAATGTACAGTGAAGGTTGTCCCATACAAGTCACAGTCCATTTATTTGGTTGCCAGAAGGTAAGGCACGTAAGATATGTTATTATCTCTCCAGCTACAAAGTATATTCCAACTGCAGATGATTAGGCAAGGAGGATCTTTTTGTCCAGTGACTAAAGCTTACTAATGTGTACAAAGATTGTTTTCACATTTGGTGTCTTTTATTAGTAGTCAGGAACTGAAGGAATAAGAATGTTGGACTTCAAGAGATGAGTGCTCCTGGGAAAATTGAATTTAATCTTGCCTGAGGTCATAGTTTTTGACATTAGGGGAAGTCAGGCTTTTTATAGCTGACCTATCAGCTGTGTGTGTCTGAGGGTCCAGCTTCAGTAATCAGTTGAACTCTGCTGATGTCTAATTTGTGTTCAGGACAAGGAGAACTGTGTTTAATACTGAAAATGGTGTGCTACTTAATATTCTGAAAAATAAAACCCAAACATAAGGTATCCCAAACTTGACCAACACAGCTTTGACATTTGTTTTCTGGTGCCCCAGTTCTGGCTGTAAAACAGTAGATGATGACTGACTTCTACCTCATGGATACATTTTTCTAAATCACTAGGCATTCATGGTAGGAATGGGGGTAAAACACTGATAAGGAAATTCTGTATATGTACATATAATAATTTAAACAGTATTCCATGATGAGGTAAGAAAATGTTGTTACTAGTGGAGATGAATAAGGAGGCCATCCTCTGACTTTGAATATCTTGTTTCTGGTGCTTCCTGACTTAAACAGTCTTGTCATTTTACTGGCTCCAAAACATTATCCTTTTTAAATAATTAATGCAGGCAAGCAGATGCATTAAAATGTACAGTTGTTTTAATAGGACTAGGAAGCAATGAGCTATGTATGCCACAGATCTGCAGCGTTGCCTTTCATGTGAAACATACAGGGCTCACCTGGAATTGCCATACATTGTGTCGTTGCCATACAGCCACCACAAATGAATTTCAAGGGGCAATACTCCAGTGTGTTCTGTGTTGGAGTTATTAGTTGCCTGTCAAGGCAGAATAACTTCTATGAAACACTGGAATTTGATCAACCTTTTGTTGCAATCTCCAGAAAAATTTCTTTATACCATTACATGCTCCATTGTTCTTGACAGCTACCATAAAAAACTGATAGTAAACACTGAAATATTAGGATCCGAAATAATTTAAATACTATGTTTAATCATGAATGAACTTTAAAAAAAGGTCAGATGATCCACCTTGAAAAAACTTACAATTGGAAACCCCTGTGTTCCTGAGGGTTGGCATTTTACAGCAAAGGAAAATAATAATGTTTTGAGTGCTAATGATAATATGAATGCTCTTATGATTAAGGGGTTGGATATTTAAGCCTTTAGGCACTTACCTAACAACGTTATTTACATTGAACAGAAGTGCTCTGAGACAGGAATCTGTGTGCATTTTGCTTTATGCTATAGATCAATCTGAACCACTAAGTGAAATGCAAACAACAATAATGCAAACACAGCCTGCCCTTTGTAGAAAGATGTGTTTTGTAGTATGAGCAACTACACATAAAAGGACATGGGGCTGTGCCTGCAGTGAGGTGGGACAAGGAGAAAATTCCAACTCCTGGAGGAGAAACATGCAAATGCAAGAACAGTTTGGTCACAGGAGACGGGTAGTTTTCCATGCAGTAGAGTGTTGGGAAATTCTGCATCCTGGCTGAAAATTTTGTGAGGGAAGTGGGTTTCCCTATTTTACTATTTCAAAAGATGATAGTTTCATTCCATATTGTACAAGGTAGAGGAAAATATTGAAGCTTGGGAATGCTGACTGCAGACATTGTTTTTTTCTGGTACATACAATAATCCATAGTAATTACATTTTCCTGGTGCATTTCCCATTGGGCTGTCCAGATTAGAAGCCATGGCAGATGGAGAAGTAAATAGGTCAATGAATTTTGAATTGCTCCATCCTCTGCTTTTTCCAGTCTTGTTGGCTTGCCTGTTTTTTCACAGTCTTTGTTTTTCCAGTACCTAAATAAAAGCCAGAGTCTGATATCCTACAGCTGTAGAACTGCCTGGCCTTCCAGAAAAGAGAAATCCCATCTTCATAATTGTTTCCATTATCATTTTGGTATAATAAGATAAGCTAGTTCATGATGAACTAATGAAAATTTCATTGATGTTTATATCTGTGATATCTGATTTTTTTAAGGATCTGAAATAGATGCTTTTAGGCAGAGTTTGGAAATA